ATTTTCATGAACATTTTGTGTGTCTTGATTAAAATTCCTTTAAATGCAAAAATGTTGTTTCATGTACAACACAGCGATTAGTTTTCGTTACCTAATGATCCTAATGTATGTAAACGTGTTTATTGATGGCAACTTATCTTCATGGACGCGCTCATTTCGTTCTATTTTCAATCCTCGACCTCGAACTAATTAACCTTGTGCAATTAACAAAATGTAGCGAATGTTTCAACGAAATTAAGCGGAAAATCCGTTTGTCGCTCACTTTTTCGGTAACCAGATTTTGCAAGAATTCATTCATGTTTCCATACCCGGTGGAACGAAAAAGTGAGTGTCGAAATTTCAATTTTAAAATTGCAACACTGAAATTGAATGAAAAATTAACTCACAAAATAGTATGAAGACCATCCAAGTATTCTTCTGGTGATCCAAAGCGGGCATTGTTGATCTAACGTATCGCAAATATGTGCAGTGAAAGTGGCCCGTATAAACATGCAATCGTGTGAAAAGGAGGGTCACTCACTCTGAAAATGCTCATTGATCTGGGAGTGGCCAGCTTTTTCAATGACTTGGGCATTTAAACCGAATAAATTCTCTTCTATTAGCTTTTTTGCATCAGTAACTTGATGGTGACGATTCGAAAAAAGGCTGATAAATTTGTTTCTCCTAAAAGTTTCCTCCTGCTAGTTTCTCCCCATGAATAGTCGCTTTTCTCGGGCATGTCCAAGTAATAAAGTGCGCATTTTCCATCGTCTATTAATAATTGTTAAATTGCATGCTTACTTTATATGCCGTACAAAGACAAACAGCTGTTGAGCAACAAACAATGTGATTACAGAATCGTGAAATTCCTCTCATAATGCGCATAAACATTCCAGCTCTGGCAAGGTAAATAATGTGGCTTTTGTAACGTTTCTACCTACTTAATGTTAATTTTATTGATATTAAATGAGCGCTGGATTTAATGGCTTTTACCCACTACACTTTGGATTATTAGTTTGCGTTGTAGAGGCGATTATCCCCTAAGTGAGCAAACAGTGGTTTTTTAACGCTTGTTATATGAAAATCCTCGCAGACAATTTAGAGGGACTCTTTGTGCGATAGCTCAGAAAGCCTCCCGAAAAAGACATTTTTTGTGCTTTTTTTGAGTTTTCAGTGTAAATAATTTCCTCGTCTTTTACATGCGAAAGTGGGGCATGCGAAGCAGTCCATCTTGTGCGAGTGTAAAGAGCAAAGTATCTGCTTTTATTACTTATCGAGTGGTTCTTAAGCCCTTAAAGCACAAACTTTCGC